GCCACATCCACCACTGCCCACTCCAAGTCCATTTTGCTATTGATGTTTTCTTTTGTTATTTCCAAAGTAGGTTGACTCCAGAGGTGAGTTCATCTAGTCTTCTAGCTACATGTGCATGGTGATGGCTAACTCTAGCTTAGCCTGAGTACTTGACCTGAAGACTCCTGTTTTCAACTGCTTTGTTGCTTCTGCTTGGATGACTGGGGGGAAAAAATCAAGCTTGAAATAGGGCTCCGTCTGTCACGTCCTCCAGTACAGCCTTTCTGGTGTGTCTGTAAGGCGTTTTCTGTCTTTCAGAAAAAAATAAATAGCCTTAGAATGGCATTATGCTTAACCTCTTGTTTAATACACTGCATCTAAGCTTGGAAAGTTTTCAAAGGTATTTATAATCTGATTACTTCTCACTAAGTCCAGTGTACCTAGCTCCACCCAGGCCATCCTTATATTAGCTCACTTATTGCAAACAAGCTTCCAATTAGCCTTTGTTTTCACCCTGTTCCCATAGTGGTATTATTTTAGGGGTTTTTTCCCCCAGTGTTAGGAATCGAGCCCAATAACCATTATTCCTGTTAGACAAGGACACTGAACTTCTGAGCTCCATCCCTCAACCCCCATAAAAGTAATCTTAACACAGCAACTAGAGGAAGTCAGATCATGTCAGTGTTCTGCTCAGAATTGTGTTGATCTCTTAACTCCAAGTAAAACGTCAAAGTTTTTACATGGCTCCTAAGCCATATCTGATTTATTATGGACTTAATTTCTGATTGCCCCTTATGTAAACGTCATTTGTGTGGACCTTCCTGCTGTGTTAGTACCCTGTTTACACTCACTGGTGTTTTTCTGCCTTCTGTGCTAGACATCCATATGACTGCCTTTCTCTCTTCCTCTAGCTAAGATAGAAACCTTTTTATAGTTCATGTGTTTCCTCACATCTCACTATGTTAAACAACCCTATCAGACTCTGAAATTTCAAGAATCACAGTCCTAACCCTTTTTTAATAATTTTAAAACAGCTTAGATTATAATTACATTATCCCTCCCTTCCCTTTCTTGTCTCCAAGTCATCCCACATACCTCCTAATTCTCTTTCAAATTCAGAGCCCTTTTTCCTTACTGCTATATCTTCATTTCTCTTCCTGACACCCACTGCTCTTTTGTTGAGAGGGGGAAAAAGGGCTGTCTCTGTCTTATTATGTAGCCTTGGAAGGCCTGGAACTCAGAGCTAGTCTGCCTCTGCCTCCCAAGAGCTGGGATTAAAGGTGTGTGCCAATCTTTGACACACCTTTGCCATTTTCTATTTTAATTGTTTTGCTTATTATCAGACTCTATATAGATTGTATGTTCCAAAAGAACACAGGAATTCTTTTTGGACTCACTATTAAATTCCCAGTGTTCAAAATGCTTTCTTGCATTTGCTAGTTGCTAGGCCCTCAGAAAAATAACTGAGTTAAAAGAAAGTCTCTTTAATATAAGATATTATTTTCCACTTTAATGCTGTATTCACATAGGTGTTTCTTTTGTAGGAATTTTTAATTACCTAAAATGCACAAAATTAATTAGGCAGCAAACAAAAACACCTTGAATATATTAAAGGAGAAAAATGCTTCAATCAAAGAAGCAATTATTGCTGGAAGGTAATACCTGAATGAGAGGCAAACCTTTGTGTAGTACATGCCTATAGTCGTAGCTATTCAGGGGGCTCAGGCAAAAGGACAGAGAATTCAAGGCTACCCTTGGTAATTTAAGGTGACCCTATATCAAAACTAAAATATTTCTAAAGAAGTAGAAATATAGATCAATGATGTTAAAAAAACTAGATATTTCAAAACCATAAGAAATTACCTTGAGGTACAAAATTACATTTAGAGCATAGTAAAATAAATAAGGGATACTTATATTTAAAAACTATAATCACATATAAAATAAAATACTAATCAAGATAGGAAAAGTTACATTACATGACTCAGATACATAGCTATTTAATTAGAAATGTCTAAAAAGATGAATACATGCAACATATTCAGAAAAAACTATAAACTACTTTATGTATTATAAAAGATAATAAGTTTCATTATGAGTTTTTCTTTTGTATTAAATGCTTATCCTGTAATGTAATTTGATATTTTTCCTTTTCCCCAAATTCTCCCAGATCTCCCCACCTAACCACCTTCCCAGCATTAATTTTTCTCCCTCTCTCCTCCTTTATCTCCTCTCTGATACCCTCACTTTCCTTCCTCCTCCCTCCTCCTGCCTCATTCTACTTCCATGTCTTTAATAGCATACCTAGATTCTGATTTTGAGTGAAAATATGCATTCTCTTTCTGAATCTGGCTTATTAAAATTGCCATTGTGATGCTCACTTCTGTCCATGTTTGTGCAAATGTCATAATTGCATTCTTTATGACTGAACTGTACTCCCGTGTGTGTGTGTGTGTGTGTGTGTGTGTGTGTGTGTGTGTGTGTATTTTCTTTTTCCATGTATCCATGGGTAGGCATCTAAAGTGATTCCATAAGTTGGCTATTGTGAATAATATCACAGTAAACAGTATTGCATGCTGACTTCAGGTATATACTCAGGAGTAGTAAAACCAGACCATATGCTAGTTCTATTTTTAATTTTTCAGGAACCTCCATATTGGTTCCTGAAATGTTGGAGTACTTTACAGTCCCATCAACAGTATATGAGTTCCTTTATCCCCATATACTCATGAGCATATCCCTAATCCCATTTTATCAAAGAAATTCAATAAGGTACTACTTTTGTTCTTTTATTGTAATTTTTTCATGAATGCAGTATATCCTGATTATGGATTCCGCTCCCCAACTCGTCCTACTTCCTTCCCACTTCCACTCCCATCCAGATCCAGCCCATTTCTGTCTCATTAGAAAACAAGCATCTAAGGAATACTAATAAACTAAAGTAAGATAAAACAGACAAGGTGTAGTAGAACAACACAAAAAGAAAAAAGAAGAAGCACAAGAAACACGTAGAGATAAAGAGACACATACATTCACACATACAGGTATCCCATAAAAACACAAAACTGGAAATCAATATATATATGCAAAGGACCTGTACAGTGTTGATTAATAAGATGCTTGGATACTACATTAAGAGACAGAGTGTCCAAAGATGCCCTTGAGTTTGTTTTGTGTTGGCCATCTACTGCTGAGCATGGGGCCTACACTTCAGAGTGGTTTGTTTCCCTAATGAGACTCCCTTAGGGGATACTAATTTTTCATTTGCATTATCTTCTGGTTGGGCCTGGGGGGATGTGTCCACTTCTGTCAACTCTAGAACCCCATCTGGTACAGACCCATGCTGGCCTTGGACTTGCTGTCACAGTGTCTGTGAAGTGGTTGTCAATTGAACTAGCTTCTGGTTGGGCCTGGGGGAATGACCCCATCTGGTACAGACCCATGCAGGCCTTGGATTTGCTGCCACAGTGTCTGTGAGTTCATATGTAAGTCAGTCCTATTGTGTTTAGAAGACCTTGTTTCCTTGGTGTCCTGCATCTCCACTAGCTCTTAAACTCTTTCTGCCTCCTCTTTCAAGGGATTTCCTGTGCTCTGAGGGGAAGGGTTCTATAGAGATATCCCATTTGGGGCTGAGTGTCCCAAGGTCTGTCACTATCTGTATAAAGTCTCACTGTGGGTCTTTGTATTTGTTCCTGTCTGCTGGAGGACGAAGCTTCTCTTTTGATGGCTGGGCAAGGCCCTGATCCATGACTATAGCCAGAATGTCATTGGGAGACATTTTATTGCTACATCCCTCTAGTAGGACAGTAGTATTTGGTTTTCCCCCTAGGTCCCTGACCTATCTAGTCCCAGGTTCTTGGTTACCCAAGCAATGTCAGGTATGGGTACCATCTCATGGAAAGGCTCTACATTTTACTTCTTAGGTCATGATGAAATGCAATAATAATAGCACGTGAATAAAGCAATAATGCTATTCCCAAAGAGAAAATTGTTATAAGCATCATAGGGAGTATAATTAAATTTGAATATATGCCTTGCATCCAGAGAGAGAGAGAGAGCTTTACTACTGTGTGTGTATACTAGGAAAGAGTTATAAAATTGCTATTTATTTTATTGAAGAAATGGGATCTCATTATTGAATTTCTGTCATTTCTGTAGTACCTATTTCACTTTGTTGTGTTATCTGAACGACTTAATGATTTTTTTTCTTTAGATGAATTTGGTTTTCTTTTAGCTTTATCCCTGATCTGATATGCTATACCAGCAAAAGTCTGGATTCCTGTTACAGTGTTTTCATATGCATATTCAGTAAACTCGTACATAAACTGCTTAATGTCTATGTAACATCTAGAACCATTTTATATATGATAAGTAATTCTTTTACTACAGTGACATTTGTGCACTGAAACCCTTAGAAATGATAATGTAGTTATGTTTTTAATTTAAAGTGACATTTTTAGCATGAGAGAAAATAAGATTCAACACAGTGTATTTATGTGCCTGCTTTTGTTACAAACTATATAGTAATAAATATGCTTACATGTTAAGATAGTATGAACTAAAATATTACCAAGGAAAATACCATGGCGATCTAATTAGGAGCAATTTTAACTTTTATTTTCTTTCTGTTGTATTTTTTTTAGGCAAGGTCTTACTGAGTAGGCCTGGCTGGCCTGGGACTTGCTATATAGACAACGCTGACCTCAAACTCAGAGTCAGCTTGTCTCTGCCTCCTGAAAGCTGGGATTAAAAGCAGGTGCCATATCCTGCATACTCTAATTTCTTAAACTGTTTATACATGTGTATTTTCTAATCAGGAGATTAAAAGAGAATAGGATTGTAAATTATTACTTAACTGTTATAATAATTAGCTGCCAAGAGGCTAATTAAAACTGCTTATAGACTATAGTTAATTTGCTATCATTTAATTTTTAAAAATAGCTGTACTTAAGCTCTTTGTCTTCAGCAGTGTCTTAGTTTGCTGTTTTTCTTCAAAACAGTTTCACTTCTCTCTAAAACAGGCCATTCAGAAAGGCAACACAGAAGTTGCAAGAATACATGCTGAAAATGCAATCCGTCAGAAAAACCAAGCAATCAATTTCTTGAGAATGAGTGCTAGGGTCGATGCTGTGGCAGCCAGAGTTCAAACTGCAGTAACAATGGGCAAGGTAAGACTTAAGTATCTGGCAATAAAATAACATTTGACTGAAGTTTGATGAGAAGGAAAACTTACAAAAATAACAAATATGGGTCTTTTACAGGGTGTTAATAAAGGACTTCGTGGAAAATTAGACTTAGTAAGGAAAAATAATTTGATAATGAACTTTAGCTGTCTACTAAGAAGTGTCAATAATATAAACCAAATAGTACCTAGACCTAGATACAGAATGTGGTTTTACTGTTAAGAAAGTAATAGATAACTTTCCTAAGTTGATGTATAAATAGTATATTTAAAAGATGACAACGTTACATGTTGTTAAATCAGTTTTCTATTCCAAATAGGTGACAAAATCCATGGCAGGTGTAGTTAAATCAATGGATGCTACATTGAGAAGTATGAATCTTGAAAAGGTAAAAAACAAAGAGTTAACATTATTACCCTATATTCAGATAGCATCTTTAAGGATACATTTTTCTTATGACTGTATCTTTATAGATTTCAGCCTTAATGGACAAATTTGAACATCAGTTTGAAACATTGGATGTTCAAACACAACAAATGGAAGATACAATGAGTAGTACTACAACCCTAACAACACCACAGGTAAGAATAATGTCTTTACTTGGAATGGTTTCTTAAAGATGACTTGATCTCATCATAGTGACAGATGCTTGTAATTTAAGCACTCAGCTCCCTAGTGCTTGGGAACTGAGGCAAGATTTCTATGAGGTCAAGACTAGCCTGTGCGATGGAATAAGTTCCAGGCCAGCCTGAGTTGCATAGTGGGAACCTGTCTCAAAACAACAAATCACCTGTTTTCAAAATGTAATGGCTTTATGAGTAGAAATCATCTTACCTTACAGGAACGCACTGTGTGTCAGATGGAGGTAGGCAGCTTGCTACTGCTCTGCCCTCAGATTCTTGAGAATGTTTTAGAGGATAATGTTACCTAGCACCTAGCATACTTTGGAATTCTGGTAATTTTATTGGATCACACATGTAGAATCTAGAGCCTGTTTCCACATGTTTGCTAATGCTCTTATATTAATAACATTAAACTTAAAAGTACACGTAATATTTAGATAACATATTTTGGTACATATATTGTTTAAAGTTTAAATCAATGTCCACGTATATACTCAAACATTTGATATTTATTAATGGTTTAAAAATGGAAAATAGTTTCTTCTATTATTTAGAAATACATAATACATTGTTGCTACTATAGTTACTCCTGTGTACACCAGAAATTCTTGTTCCAGTCTTACTGTTATTTAGTACTAATTTACCAACCTTTTCTGTAACACAATCTTTTTTAAAATTATTTGGGGGAGGTGTTCCAGACAAAGTTTCTCTTTGTAGCTTTGACGGCTGTCCTAGAACTTTCTCTGTAGACAAGGCTGGACTGGACCTCACAGAGATCTGCCTGCCTCTGCCTCCCAAGTGCCGGAATTAAAGGTGTGCTCCACCACTGCCCAGCTTGTAACCCAATTGTATTTAGCTTCTGATAGCCACTATTTACCTCAGCTTGCATGTGAAATCGATATAGTACCATACTGGACTTTCTCTGCCTAGCATATTTCACTTATTATTTTGTATTTCATCCATGTGACAAATGGTAGAATTTTATTCTTTGGGTGGAGTAAATAGTATTTTGTATGTAGTACATGGTTCTTTTCTAGTCATTGGTTGCTAATCACCTAATTTGTTTCTATTTCATGGCTCTAGTGAATGTTATTGCAATTAGTGTGAGGCTACCTGTGTCTCTTTAACATGCTACTTCCATTTCCCTGGAATATATAACTAATAGTCAGAGTACTCAGTCAAATAGTAGCTTAAGGTAAGGAACCATTATGCTGTTTTCCACAATGGCCATATTAATTTGCATTCCACCAATAGTATATACAAGTCACATTTTCTTGCATTTTCCTTAGGAAGGTACATTCTGTCACTTTGAGAGGATTTTATGATTAGTCAGATTTCAGAAACACAATTAATTGGAAAGAAGACTTGTTTAGATAAACAGATTTGAATTTCCAGTCCTGTTCTGCTGCTAATTAACTTTGAGAACTGGATTGAGATACTACCCTAAGGTTCTGAGGATGGAGCTCAGTTGGTAGAATGCATGTGTAGCATGCGCTATCTTTCCACTTTATTCCTTGATGGCTAATTATCTGTTATGAACAGTGCTCCTTACTTAGGACTTTTAAAACCTAAATTCTGCATATGACAAAAATGGTAGTATGTGTCTTTATGATTCTAGTGTATTTCATCTAACACCATGATCTCCATTTGTATAAATTTTCCTGAAATTTTGCATAATTTTGTTCTTGGTATTTAATATTCTCTATTGAGTACATTTACCACATTTTTGGGGGTGTGTGAGACATGCTGGTAGAAATAGACTAATTCTGTAACATATCTATTGCAGATAGTGTTGAGATAAAATGATGTACCAGTATTTATGTTGTATGCTGACTTAAATCCCTTCAGGTATATACCCAGGAGTAGTATAATTGTATTATATACTAATTGTATCTTTAGGTGTTTTTATGAGGAACCTCCATAATGGAGGCTATAACTAATTTATATCCTTACCAATGATGAATAATTGTTTTTTCTCACAAATCCTGACTAGCATTTATTTGTTTTCTTTTTTCTGAAAATAGATTATTTTTCCCATTATATATCTGATCATGGTTTCTCTTCCCTCATATCTCCTCCCACATTTCCCCCTTCCTCACTCATACAATTCTCTCTCTCTCTCTCTCTCTCTCTCTCTCTCTCTCTCTCTCTCTCTCTCTCTCTCTCTCAAACAGACAGACAAACAGACAAATAAAAAAGAAAACAATCCTAACAGAACAAAACAAGCAAATGAACAGAGGGGGGGGGAAAGAGAATCATGAGAAGCACATACACCTGCAGACACATGCACACAGGGACAACTTCCCAAGCCCACAAAATCGGACATCATAATACACAGTCAAACATGTCCAGGCAGAGTGCTATGAGACACAAACAGTGTATAAAAATACCATGCTTCTCCTGTGTTGGAATATTCAGGGCTTGCTATAGTGGGATGGCTGGACTCTGTTGGTGACATACTGCTCTGAATGTTTGTGTTTTTACACTGACATTTAGGCATCTGGATTTAGAGTGATTATAGGTCTAGGTGGTAATTTCTGGGTTTGTCTCTTTTGGAGGGGTGTTTTCTTCCTTAGTTTTTGTTTTCTCTCTTGTCTTCTGGCTGCTATGGCCTGTGGTTAAGTAGAGGGTCTCCACCTGTATTGGGCCTGGACTTCTGGTGGCCTAGATGGCCTCTGTTCTAGTAGTGGGTGCTGCCCATGTTTGGGACTGGAGTTTTGGTTATGTGTGTGGCTTCTGATCTGGCCAGGAGTCCTCTGGAGTTCAGGATGCTGGTCTGGCCTCTGGTGGCATAGGAGGCTTATGCCATTTTTTCAGGGAATTGGCCTGTTCTCTTGGTTGAGGATGCTGCTCTGATCTCTGGGATTCAGAATACTGGACCTGGCCTCTGGGATTTAGAATACTGGCCTGGCCTTTGGGTTTCAGGGAGCTGGCCTGGCCTCTGATGGGGTCGAAGGTTTCTGTCAGAGGTGTGGACTGGAATATGGTGATGAAGAGCGGGCTGGGGAGGTGGAATCATGTTAAGCAAGCAGAAACAGGATGGGGGCAGTCTCATCTAGGGTTCAGGATGCTGGCCTGGCCTCTGGTGGAGTAGGAGGCTTCCGCTAGGGGTGCGGGCCAGAATATGGTGACAAGGACAGGAGAGGCAGGAGGGGTTATGTTGGGCAGACACCAGCACAGGGGGAGGGGTGTAGGGTCAGTCTTATCTGGTTTTCAGGATGCTGGCCTGGCCTCTGGTGGAGTAGGAGGCTTCTACCAGAGGTGTGGCCAGGGCTATGTGTGACAAGGAGAGGAGGGGCACTTGGGGTTATGCTGGGCAGGCACAGGCAGGACATGGGCTGTGTGGGGGTGCTTTACCTGCTTTTTGGGCAGCTGACATGGCCTCTGATAGGGTAGAGTCTTCCAGCAGAGTTGTGGGCCAGGATATGGTGATGAGAGGAGGGTGAGTTGGAGTTATGCTGACAGCGCACATGCTGGGTGGGGGGGCAGTCCCACCTGGGGTTCAGCACATCCTTCCTTATGTTAGGAAATTTTCTTCTATGATTTCGTTGAAAATGTTTTCTGTGCCTTTGACCTGGGGTTCTTCTCCTTCCTTTACTACTCTTTGCAGATTTATCCTTTTCATAGTGTCCCAGATTTCCTGGATGACTTTTACCTGGGTTTTTTAGATTTTAACATATTTGACTGAAGTGTCCATTTCTCTTCTATCTTGTCTTCAATGCCTGAATCCTCTCTTCATTCTTTTGTCCTCTGCCAGTGAGGCTTACCACTGAGGTTATTAGCTTAATTCCTAAATTTTTCATTTCCTATATTACTTCAGTTTGGGTTGTCATTTTTAATAATGTAGTTTCATTTTGTGAATATTGGTGTATTGCCCGCATGTATGTCTGTGTGAGGGTGTAAGATCCCCTGGAACTTGAGTTTACAGACACTTGTGAGCTGCTTTTGTGGGCTCTGGGAATTCACCAGGGTCCTCTGGAAGAGCAGCCTGTGCTCTTAACCACTGAGCCATTTCTCCAGACCCTGTTTGGTTTTCTTTAGTGCCTCTATTTCTGCTTTCATGTCTTGAATTGTATTTATCATTTCAGTATACTTTCTGTCTGTTTTCCCAGACTTCATTAAGGGCTTTGTTTGTCTCCTCTTTAAGGGCCTTGAACATATTCATGATAGCTATTTTGAAGTCCTTCTCTTTTGCTTGCTTTTTCTCTCTGGAACTTAGGGAAGTGTGTTGGCTCTGAGTTGCCTAGAAGGGAGTGCTTCTGCAGGCTAGAGGGTTGTAGAGAGGAATAGATGGGACTGGTAGAAAAGGCTGAGAGAGGCTTCAGAAAGGGCTAAGGGGATCCTATTCACACCTAGAGGTGTGGTTCACAGGGAGTTGGAGGTATGGTGGGAAGAGGGGATCCAGCAAGTAGGTCACACAGTAAGGCACAGAAGTTTCTAGAGAGATGGGGATGAAAGGGCAAGGAGTACCCGGGGTCTTAACCAGGTGTTAGAGTCTCCAGTGAATGAAGTTGAGGTAGGAGGAGGGGCACCTGTAAGCAGGTTGGTTGTTACAGGGCTGAGGGTGACAATGGAGAGATTGTAATGGAGGACCAGGGGGACAGTGTGAATCACCTCTTTGGAGTGACCACTTCAGATCCTGGGTAGGAAGTGTTTTTGGGATTGGGGACACTTACGGGAAAGAAAGGGGATGGACTAGAGGTGGGGCTGAGAGGGTCAACAGGAAGGAGGGAAGCTGGGTCCAGTGCAAGGTTAGGTGGAGTCTCCAGGGAAGAAAGACAGAGAGGGAGGACAAGACCCTCAAGCAGTCTGTTACACGACTGAGGATGTGCCTGGGAAATTGCAGTGTTGGACAGGAAGGAAAGTGAAGATGGCCTGCCCATGTTTGTTTTCTTTATGATAGTCATTCTCATGTTGTAAGTGCTAGAATGTCAATGTAACTTTGATTTGCATTTTTA